CCCCAAAACCCCAAAACCCCAAAACCCCTTTAATTTAATAAAATATTGAAAGTTAGGATTTCATTTATTTATAGAATTATTTTTTCTTAAGCTCAAAGTTTTGAGTCATGTAAAGCAAAAGCTGTTGCTTCAGATCTGCGTTGTTGCATTTCTCAGCTAAGCTATGTAGCTTTAGTATATGAGTCACTGATATATTCATATCTTCTGAGATCAACTGAATTATGTCACTAGGTGTGTTCGTAGTATTATCTTCTTTAGGAGTGAATAACTCTGATACCTGCTTTTCTGCTTTCAAAGTCAAATCTTTTATGTTAAGGCTACTATCTTCTTGAATGATCAATTCTAGTGCAGCCTTAGAGGAAAGAGTAGTCTCTTTACCATAAATATATTCAAGGATGTTCTTCAAGGTTTCTCCTGAAAACTCATTTATTTCTACGATCTTCTTAGTCTTCAGATATCCATCTCATAAAGATTCTTTCTTATCATCAACATTATGTTCATCCTGTTCTTCTCCTAAATTTATAACTAGAAAACTTACCATTTTCTTTGTTTAATTTCTCCCCGATATCGTTCAAACTCTGGTCGCAAGTCTCTGTCTCAGCTGGAATTATTGGTATCATGTCAATTAACGATTTGCTTGAACTTGACAGATTTCTACCAGAGTTCTCACTCGCTGCAAACGAGCTATCAATTTTATCCTTTAAAAAGGGTGATTTTATAGCACAAATAACGCTATGAGCTGGAATATATTCATCTTTGACCTTAAAAGCAAGATCTGCATACTTCTTATCTCCAAAGAGGGAAGAATAATCTAAACCTATAAAACTGGGAAATTACCTTGTTTCTCGGTCTGGTTGTCAGAAGTTTGGGAATTCTTATCTTCAACATCGTTCTGAGCAGTTTCATTCTCTTCTCTAGTCTTTGACTCTAAGTCGTCTGGGATTTCAATGCTACAGACATCACTCAAAACCTTATTCCCATCAGTTCCTCCATAAATAACAGCATTGCATTTGTCTTCAGCCTTGTGGAGAATCATGGAGTGCCTTCATCTACTTTGGACTTCTTCCGCGTAGTTAACCATCTTGGTTTCATGAGTGTTCAGGTTGATGGCTAAGAAATCATTTAGCCACTTTCCTCCATCATAACCTCCAAAAATAAAGACATGGTCTTTGGCAACAATGCTTCCTGATGCCACTCTTGGAGTTATGCTGACTGATAGCTTTTTATTCTTCATATCTTCAGAGTTTGGAATAATGCTTGCAGTTGATAGGCTCAAAGATCCTAAATCTATCCGGGTCCATGCGAATGTGTCCATATCTATTCAGTACATGTCATTTAATAATGACGGTGTTTCAGGTTCTCCCCCGAAAATGTAAAGCTTCTCTTGATATACAAAGGAGGTATGCTGGAGTCTTCCAGATGGAGATAAGCCATTAGTTCTTGGTTTGTACCATTCTGAGGTCTCTAGATCTAAGATGTATAAAGATTTGTTCCATCTTTTACCATCCCCTCCTCCAAAAATATACATCTTATTGCCAATAATATTTGCTGAGTGGAAGTGTCTCTTTGGAGGGCAATATCTATCTTCATCCCTCAACTTAATGTTATCATGATCAGCTGGCATAATATCCTTGAGGGATACATATTTAGCGTCAATAATTCCTTGTGATAGATCCAATACTGAGGTATCTTTCAGAACTTTCCTGCCACTCCAGCCTCCATCAATAATCATATAATCCTTGTACATACAAGCGGTATGACCATATCTTGGTGTTGGGAGTGGGCCACTAATCTTTGGTTGGATCCATGTCTTCGAATTCAAATTATAAAACGAAACATCATTAGAGCATTTTTCTTCTTTGCTACGCTTATTACCTTCATCATCACTATCAGTAGGGGCTTCTTTACCACCAAAAATAATCATGTATTCTTTCCAGACTCAGGCTGTGTGTGAGACCATTTAAAATTCTTGAAATTACAACTGAATTTCCTTTAAATAAATTTTTCAATAAAAATAACACACTTAGGGGTTTTGGGGTTTTGGGGTTTTGGGG